TGATCCTGGTATAGGTGGATCCAACCCAGTTATTGAAATATTATATATTATTATACACATACATATATGCTATATATTATTTTATATATATCTTATTTTGTAGTTATAAAACAATAGAAACTAATATTTTTGGATCCGATTAGGTCCAGATCCATATCCAAATCCCATGTATACTTTTTGGATCCAGATCCAAATATTCTAGATCTAATCAAATCCAGGTCCAAATCCAAATCCCATGCTTACCTTTCCAGATTCAAATCTAGATCTCGGTGGATCCTAACCCAATCAATGTGTCATGGACAGCGACTTATACTGTTGCCAAGCCATTGACTCAAAAATTTGCCGAGGCTATCTTGCCACCGACCAAAAAGGTGCTGTAGGGAAGCAATCCAATCGGTCTGCATTCGAACTGTCACACTTCAATGTCAAATAGACTTGGATAATGGGTTAGGAGTTAGGAATTTTCTAGTCAAACCATAAATAAAGCAATCTCTTCGATTTCAAAAAGGAATTATTGCAGGCTTTAGTTTTTTACTTGATATTAGTATGTTAGATGCTCAATTGCTACTTTGAAGTTCACCATAGGTCACCATCACAAGCACGAAGTCCTTATCTTTCTCTTTTATGCACAAACCCAAGTATTTTCAATCCCTCTTCTAGAGATTAAAGAAAATGATGAAGGTAGTTTTGCGTGTTTTTCCAATTTATGGAAATTATGCTCATTTACTTTTAGTACAAAGAGTCACAATTATTGTTAGCCGTTAGATGCTAAGTTGTATCGTTTTTTTGCACAAGTTGGAAAAAAATCTCTCAAGCTTTGAACAATGATGCATCTCGAGTTATTTTGATTTCACATCTAACAGTTATGAATGATTACGACTTTCTTATACTGAAGATAAATCAGTCTTACAGGTATAAAATCTCCAATATTATACTATACATGCCTAGAATAAACCATCCCCGAACATTGTTCATGAAAAACAAACTCTCTTGTTTTCGCCTTCTTTTTCTTTTTCTTTTCTTTTATTTTATTTTTTTTTTTCTTTTGCCAATTTAGTTAGCAAGTACTTGGTTCAAATAAAGGCATCTTGACTAATACAGGTAAACGGTTCTGGTGTAGAGGCTACAGCACTAACGTTTAAAGTTCAAATTCTAGTTTCCCAAATTGGAAAATGATGTATACCCTAAAGAGCATTACCTTGGTCATGCAAGTTTCCCAGTTAACTCAACCAAATCAGATCTTTTAAGCTCCACTAACTGATAGATATCATTGTTGGAGCACATAGAAGCCCATAAGGCAAAAAAATCAGTAGTTGCCCAATTTCAATGTCAAGTAACTGTTATTAGAGGGCCCCGGCCTCTACATAACCAATGATGTAATTAGTTTGTATCTAAAAACCCTTGATGGTGGTTCTGGATTCCAATCCCATACTTACCAAGAATGAACAAAAACAAACAAGAAAAGCAAAAGAGAGAGAAAAATTAAGAAGCAAAGTATCCATCAAGCTGTGTAGTGAATTTACATACTTTACTTTGATAAAGACTGACCTCCAATTTATATTGTGGACCCAAGATCATAGAACTAAGACCTACTAACCACTAAGGCAGGAGGCCAAACCCCTTATCCACATATCATCTTGATAAAATTTACTGCTTTCTGGTTAAGCCCACATTTTCTTATCTTTTTTTACCCCAACACCCCTCCCCCCCCCCCCCCCCCTCCATTTTTTACCGGGATTGTCTTCAAAGAGACCATTTATGTCAATATCATTCTCACTCATTAGATGTCACATTGTATGGCTTGGGGTGAGTTACGAAGTCCGAGAATTTCTTTTTTGGAACTTTATGTCTATTCAATGATACTATTACTACCACCCATTTTGGAAATTTAAGGGACGAATAATTGTGACCTCCATGTACAAAAGATAAAATGTGCGGTTTCTATAAGGTTGCAACCTTAAACAATCCAATTAAGGAGTGCCTCCAAATTTTGTTATAAAAGTTTTTTAGGATTATCTGAAAAACTATTTTCATATCTAATAAGGAAATTTTAAACTCCAAAAATGGTTAAAATCAAGTAGATCTATAAACATAGGAAATCTTGAAAATGGATGGTCTAGATAATGTGTTGTAAAATGCACTATTTTTGGGACTCAAACACGTTTTTTTTTTTTAATATTCATACATCTCGATGTTAGGATGATCAATTGGAAGGTTTTTCAACATTATAACAGCCTTTCCAATAGATTTTTGAGATGCATCTATGATTCTACATTTCAAGGTTGCAACTTTATATAAACTTTTCCCAAAGATAAATCAATCCCTTTTTTTACCTCTTTATCCTTAATCCTGCATTTTCTTTTCTTTGTGTTTTTTTCCCCGTATGCTTTACTGGTCACATAAAGAGGCAGTATGCTACTTCCCTAAAGGCCAGTTTGGGTCCCCATAAATTAATATTCTTTCCTAGAAATGAGGCATCTCTAATGATCGACTCAAAAATTGGCAGACAGAGTTCCCAACTAAATGGCGAAAGATTCATTCTTTGAAAATAAATCTTCTTTTTTTTTTCTACTTTTTTTATTACATTTTCTTCTTTTTTTAATAAATCAGTAGGGGAGGCCCCCTACCCGATTTTTCCATTAATAGAGATAAATAAATGCAAATCATGATTTTACAGCCCTACAATAGGGCATTTGTGCCAAATCATAAAGTAAAGGAAGAGAAATAAAGTCCGGTGGTCTAGCACGCCAAACCATAGCACCGGAGAGGTCCACGGCCTTTTTGGTAAATGTATCCACCACTATGTTGGCCTCATAATAGATATGGGAAATGGACCACACACGATTTTAAAGGCTATGTCTACAGTTCACTACAACCATATGAAGTGCCCATGGAGGATTATATCGGCCTTGAATGGCATTGACGAGCAGGGAAGAATCGCTCTCAATCTACAATGGGAAACTAAATGGCCAGATCAATGTCCTTTTTGAGGGCATAAAATTCCGCATAGTTGTTGGATGCAATAGCAAAAGGTATAACTAAAGCAGCAATAAAGGCATCATCATCATCTTTGATTACACCACCACCACCTGCTGCCCCTGGATTCTGTAAAGAGGCCTCGTCAATATTCAACTTGGCGTGATGGGGACGAGAAAAAGACCATGCAACCGGAATGAGGGATTTAGATTGTTGTTGGCATCATGTAATATGTAGATTTCCAATAATTGCTTTTTCCGATTTATGTAAGGTCAGACTTTGACATCAGCTAACTCACGAATAAGAGAGGTGATCCTCCTTAGCAATTGTTCTCTCCTTTATGCCTTTATCTGAAAAATTATGTGATTGCACTGCTCTCATAAAAATCAGATTGTAGTGAAGAAAAGATCACTACAAACACTAAGAAGACCATTTGATTTGAATTTAAAAACAATCTCATTTCTAAGAATGATTGCAATGGATGATCCCGAGATGAATTGTTTACCACACTTCCATACAATCGACCTCCAAATACCCTGTGAGAAAACACACTGCAACAAAAGATGACATATGTTGTCATCATTATTTCTGCAAAAAGGGAATATAGAAGCCAAGGTGATCCAATGGTTTTTAATAAGAGAATTTATCGAAAGTCGTTGTTGTATAGCCAACTAAGAGAGCCACTTGGTTCTGGGGTGGCCCTTTGATTACCATAATGTTTTGAATATAGGCTGAGAAGACCCCCCTCTTGCTGAATAAAATTCCACACTTCCTTAATCGAGAACAAACCATTGAAAGAGTGAATCCACACAAAGGAATTGGTTTGTGACGACATTGGGACAGTAAAAACCTCCACCTCCACCTCCTTCCACATTCTAATTAAATGTCTAGAAGTAGGAGATGGAAGATTCCAAGTTTGTGGAGACCGTTGTATATATTATGAGACCTTAGTTTTAGCGAAAACACCATAATCCTCATGAACATTTGCACCATAAGATCCCAAATGGATTTCTCTGATAACCATGGATCTACCCAGAACTCCACTGACCGTCCATCCCCAACGATCCACCTAACATTGTGCCTCAAGTAAGATAATCCTTGTTGAATACCTTTCCAGGCATAAGAACAGCTCATTTTCTTAGTCCACCCGATAGAAGAATTTTTGAAATATCTATGTTCAAAGAAACACGCTAACAAAGAGAGTGAGTTGGCTAGAACCCTCCATGTCAATGTCATCATACCTGCAATATTGAAATCAACAATGTCATGAACCCCAAGACCGCCTTCCACAAGAGTTAGGCATACAGTTTTTCACTTAACAAGATGACAACCTGTTTTTCTAGTTGTGCCTGCCCATAGAAAATTCCTTTGTAGCCTTTCAACCATATTATATGTACGTCGGGACAAGATGAAAGAGTAAAGATCCTCTGAGACCCTCCCACACCCATGTGTGTGGGATCCCAAAGGATCACCATTAAATCTAGTACAAATCTCTAAAAAAGTTATCACATGGATATAAGACTTGACTTTTCTAGATATATGTGTCGAATTTAATGGTGATCCTTTGAGGTCCTACACACATGGGTGTGATACGGTCTCATAGGATCATTACTCAAAATAAAAAATAGGTTCCAAGATAACCGATGAACTACGTATGGCTTCAACAATTGTAGTTTGCTTGAATAAGATAGGGATAACGCCTACCACGTGCCTATCTTAACAATGGCAATGGTACCCAAGACAATAAATTGTAGCATCTTCCACCCTGACCCCTCTCTCTCTAATTTTCAAAAAATTGTTTTTCCAAGGATCCAAACAAACCCTAAGTGATTTTACTCAACTATGTTGAGCCACACATAGTGTTGCTATAAGGACCTCCTAAATGTTCATTTTAGAAATCAAGGAGCACATTAACATAAGTGTTGCTATAAGGACCTCCTAAATGTTCATTTTAGAAATCAAGGAGCACATTAACATAAGGGAGCATAACGCAGTTTATTTAAATGTAGGGGACTTCAAAGGTATTCTAGCAAACCATAGAAGAGCTATCTCATTTCTTTCATGCTTCTCTTACAGGAGAAGCAATAGAATTGATAGATACATTAGAAGATTATCTGTGGAGAAAATCGAAATGTCTATTCTACCCTTTATTACATGCATGCCTCAGCAACAAACCTAACGGCCTTCTTCAATCTATTGTTCTTGTGAGTTGTTTTTGCAAAGTTTTTGCTTTCATTACGCATAAAAGGGAAGATACATAAGACTCTCCGGCCCATATAGCAACCCTTCCTTCTTTTCGTCTTCCCTGGCAATCTGAAATCCAAAAATAAACAAATCATAAGCAAATAAGTAAGGAAAAAGTTTATATAAGGTTGAAACTTTAAAATATAGAAATAAAGATGCATCTCAAAAATCTATCAAACAAAGGTTGTTTTAATGTTGAAAACCCTCTAATTGATCATCTCGACATCT